TAGGTAGGATCAAGGGGGTCCAGGTAAGGTCAAGGTGGGTCTAGGTAAGATCAAGGCGGGTCTAGGTAAGCTCAAGGGAGGTTTAGGTAAAATCAAGGGGATCCTAAAGATCAAGGGGGTCTAGGTAAGATCAAGGCAGGTCTAGGTAAGATCAAGTGTCTAGGTAAGATCAAGGGAGTCGAGGTAAGATCAAGGCGGGTCTAGGTAAGCTCAAGGAAGGTTTAGGTAAGATCAAGATCCTACGTAAGATCAAGGGGTCTAGGTAAGATCAAGGGGTCTAGGTAAGATCAAGGGGGTCCAGATAATATCATACGAGTCTAGGTAAGATCAAGGAGGTCTAGGTAAAATCAAGGGGGCCTAGGTAAGATCAAGGGGGCCTAGGCAAAATCAAGGGTGTCTAGGTAAGATCAAGGGGGTCTAGGTAAGGTCAAGGGGATCTAGGTAAGATCAAGGTGGTTTAGGTAAGATCAAGGGGGTCTAGGTAAGATCAAGGAGGTTTAGATAACATCAAGAGGATCCTACTTAAGAGCAAGAGGGTCTGGGTAAGATCAAGGGAGTCTAGGGAAGATCAAGGGGGTCTAGGCAAGATCAAGGGGGTCTAGGTAAGATCAAGGGGGTCTAGGTAAGATCAAGGGGGTCTAGGTAAGATCAAGGGGGTCTAGGTAAGATCAAGGGGGTCTAGGTAAGATCAAGGTGGTCTAGGCAAGATCAAGGGGTCTAGGTAAGAACCAGGGTCTAGATATGACCAAGGGGGTCTACGTAAGATCAAGGGGATCAAAGTAAGATAAGGGAGTCTAGATAAGACCAAGGGGGTCTAGGTAAGACCAAGGGAGTCTAGGTAAGACCAAGGGAGTCTAGGTAAGATCAAGGGAGTCTAGGTAAGATCAAGGGAGTCTAGGCAAGATCATGGGGTGTAGGTAAGATCAAGGGAGTCTAGGCAAGATCATGGGGTGTAGGTAAGATCAAGGGAGTCTAGGCAAGATCAAGGGAGTCTAGGCAAGATCAAGGGAGTCTAGGCAAGATCAAGGGAGTCTAGGGGAAAATCAAGGGAGTCTTAGGCAAGATCAAAGGGGGTCTAGGCAAGATCAAGGGAGTCTAGGCAAGATCAAGGGAGTCTAGGCAAGATCAAGGGAGTCTAGGCAAGATCAAGGGAGTCTAGGCAAGATCAAGGGAGTCTAGGCAAGATCAAGGGAGTCTAGGCAGAAACAAGGGGGTCTAGGCAAAGATCAAGGGAGTCTAGGCAAGATCAAGGGGAGTCTAGGCAAGATCAAGGGAGTCTAGGCAAGACAAGGGGAGTCTAGGCAAGATCAAGGGAGTCTAGGCAAGATCAAGGGAGTCTAGGCAAGATCAAGGGAGTCTAGGCAAGATCAAGGGAGTCTAGGCAAGATCAAGGGAGTCTAGGCAAGATCAAGGGAGTCTAGGCAAGATCAAGGGAGTCTAGGCAAGATCAAGGGAGTCTAGGCAAGATCAAGGGAGTCTAGGCAAGATCAAGGGGTCTAGGTAAGATCAAGGGTCTAGATATGATCAAAGGGGTCTAGATATGATCAAAGGGGTCTAGATATGATCAAGGGATCTAGATATGATCAAGGCGGTTTAGGTAAGATCAAGGGGTCTAGGTAAGATCAAGGGGTCTAGGTAAGATCAAGGGGTCTAGGTAAGATCAAGGGGGGTCTAGGTAGGATCAAGAGGAAGGGGATTCTATATAAGATAAAGGGGATCTAAGTAAGATCAAGAGGGTATAGGTAAAATCAAGAGGGTCTACTTAAAATCATGGGGTCTAGGTAAGATCAAGGTGGTCTAGGTAAGATCAAGGGGGGTCTAGGTAAGACCAAGGGGGTCTAGGTAGGATAAAGGGGGTCTAGATAAGATCAATAAGTCTACAGAGTCTGTAAATATACACTGTATAACCCAATTGCAAAACAAATGCTCCCCCCCCCAGACGCTCTAATACAGACTGGAGTTGTAAGCACTAAACCCACAAGGTTATGCTACTTTAAATATTTTTGGGGACTTCAAAGTATAAAATTACTTGGTCATGTCCTTTACGACCCTAATGAAAATAGGAAATTTTGGTTAATTAAACATTCCACATTTCTGAGGACTTATTGATTTTCTGGCTATAATATATATTCTGTCTAAGGAAAATTTATCCCGTCATGTTGAGCTAAAACTTTGGTTGTGTAGTTTTAAAAATAGGTCAGACAAGAGAGTTGAGTTAGACCTGCCTAACACGGGTCAATAGGCCTGCTTCAGTGTTCTTATTTGTTTTAATGGACATGCCTGAGTTAATAGGCTTTCCTTACACCCGGCATCAAGACCTCTGGCATTACCCTCATCACACTAAATTATCTTAGTGTAATTATTAACCAGTTGTCCCAGTAAGGGGCAACAGGCCTATTGCAGTGTTCCTCCTTTCTTATGTTCTAAGTCAGGACGACATTATGACATTTTCATTAGGATATTTGTACTCCCCCAGGATGCGACCCATACCAGTAGGCCTGCTGCAGTGCTCCTCCTTTCTTATGTGAACAGTACTAATGGATATAAGGGAACATGCCCACTTGTGCCCGCGATCGAATTCCAGTTCTTCAGTTGAGGCCGCTGCCAACTGAGCCATGATATATCACATACACATTTCATCTCTGCTTCCTAAACTCTTGCAGGATGGGTATAGGCTGCAAGATATTAGACTAACACTTCCTAAAATTTAATCATTTTTCAAATCTAAGCTTTACAACCCATTTCTCCAATTTTTATCTCCACCCCATTCAGGGTAACCTATAGAATACATTCCTCATTATTTCCTGGCCAGATATTTCACCTCTGGTCGGGAGATAAGCTAATATGTACTTCCCACTAAGCTACTTTTGATATCAATTCCTTACAATCTTTCCTATACTCTCCCCGCCACTCTACCACCTAATACAATTACTATCTGCTACAATAACCAAACTTTAGTGGACTTCTAACCTGGAAATACCTTACAAGTGGACGACGTCTCCAACCGTTACATCTCCACATTCCTGGAGTAACCCCTCTCCAGGTATACTCCAGGTATAACACAATGTTATGGGTCAAAGCATTTTTTAGTGTGGTTGTCTCCACTCCTCAAACTGGTCAGTGTTGCTGTGCTGATTACTGTTGAGGCAAACACAGCCAGGCACAGCAATTACCACACCAGGAACATTATGACCAACATTAATGTAATGTAAACTAATAACATTACTGCCTGACTGATATACCCATTAATGTTTAACATAGTAAAACTATTTTCTTTAATCAATATTTCTTACACATTAACCTGATGACTAACAATTTGTTTACATGGAGGCCTTTTCTGGGTCACAAGGAGCAAGTTCCTTAGATCAAGAGACCTTCACTAAGTTATTTTTCAATGGAAAAATATAGCCCAGAAGTATGGGTTATGCAACTCCTAGTGTGAGAGTTATTGTTTGATCAGAGGAAGGGGAGTAGCTCCAGTTCCTCGCATCAAAACCCCTCCACAGGGTCAATCCCCCCCTCTATGACATTAGGCCCCCCAAAAATTATATTAAAACTCAAAATATTAATAATTTAGTGTGCAAACTGGTAACGGGGAACAGGAGTTGCAACTGGTGCCGGGGACCAGAAGCTGCAGCTCAACTCTGCTGATGCACTTACAAATACGTACTAGACGATACTTACGTTATTTAGGAAGCGGCAAAGCCGCCGGGTCGGCAGGAAGAGGAGCAGCACGTCTCTCCTCTACGACCTGTGAAGTTCAACTGACCTTTAGTGAACTTGAGGTTGGTCACTGTCCTGACCTGCACTATAACACCATTACTGATAACCTGCGTAATTCTGACTACCACCAATAGATGGCACTACTACATCATTACTATCAGGCATATTACACCTTTAGCATATCGTGCCCTCCATTGCTCTATGACACTAGTGGGGTTAGCGCCTAGTTATGATTGTGTGAAGACACTACAAAAAAGCTCTACAAAAACACAATATTACAAAAATTGTAAAAACTACAAAGAAAACAAAAATTCACCAAACACTACAAGACCTCAAGGTAGGTAGGTTATCAGGAGTAGGTAGATAGGGAGATGAAGGTAGGTGATAAATTAGACACATGTGCAACTCTTGGGTATCTTTATTGAGGAAACGTTTCGCCATACAGTGGCTTCATCAGACTGATGAAGCCACTGTATGGCGAAGCGTTTCCTCAATAAAGATACCCAAGAGTTGCACATGTGTCTAATTTATCAACATGTCGGTTCTCTGAACCATTCATCTACATGAAGGTAGGTAGGCAGGGATGGGCAGGTAGTCAGGATGGTTAGTTAGGCAGTGGAAGATACCAAGAGATAAGCAGGAGGCGTGATGGAGATGGGAAAAAATAAAGATGAAATTAGAGGTGTAAGGACTCAAGAAGAGAGGGAGTAAGGTAGGGGTGGTAGAATTTAAGGAAGAGAAAAAGAGACTACGAGTAAAGAAGTTAGGGATGGGGAGTGAAGAATGGAGAACGGGAGCAAGGATGGAAGAAAAAAAGATAAAAGGAAATGGTGGTAGGAAGTGATGGAGGAAGGAGGTAAATTTGGATTGAGGTAAAGATGGAAGGAGGAATGAAAGTTGCAATGGGGGACTGGAAGGATGTAGAGAGGAAGTAGTGGAAGGGGGGAGGGAGGGAGGCGAGAAGCTGCTAGTGGTGGTGGTGGTAGGTGACCGTGGCAGTCTGGTTTAGTCGTTGTGATCTCGGCACGGGGAGAGGTTGAAGTTGAGTGCCACACCTAGGGGGCCACGCTGTTGCTGTCGCTGACCCGAATTCCGCAGCTTTCACTCCTGTTATAGAATCCATCATCCCCTTTACACCTACACTCTAGGGAATTCTTGTAGTAAAACTTTCGCCTCGATCATAAGTAATTTTGACCTCTGGCGTGGTAACAGTGACCTAACCAGTAAGCATCATTCATAACTAAAGTATTCAACACTCCTTCAGGTGCCCACCTGCTGTGGGAAGATGGACTCGTCTTAAAAAGATCCAAGTTAATTATAGCAAACAAACAAAAAAAAAAACGAAAAGTTTCCTACTCGGGAGATAAGTCAAGGAGACACCCAGAAATTTAAAAGAAATGTGGGACTTTAAAGAATTGAGACAGTTTATATCGACTGCCTTACAGAGACCTGGATATTTATATTTAGCCAATCCTGAAGTCATGTGTACTTGTGTGTGCATGTATGTGTGCGTGTTCCAGGTGTGCATTTAAAGTGATAGTAGGTCGGCATGTGTGCATCAACATGCGTATACCTACCTGAATTTCAATGTGTCAGATTATTTTAGTAAAAGTGTAAAGCGAAGGAATGATTATTAAACCCCGATTAACTGCACACTAGAATATTAAAAACAGCTATGAAAAAAATAAAAATGTATTTACAATATGTAGAAGGAAAAAAACTGTCATAAATAAATGTAAATGGGCGTTGTGTTGACGTGAAAATGTTTACAGACGCAGAACACGAGAGATGAAGATATTATTATTATTATTAAGCGAGAACAGTCATGAAACTGGTTTGTCAGTGTGTTTTGTGACGAATACATTCAAAATTTAGGTGTACATGAGAAGTCCTGTTACTAATACAACTGTAAACTTATGATGCATACATCTGAAGAGCAGTACAGTAATATAAAATGCTGCTTCGAATGTATAAGTTGTCTCCAAGGACGAAATTTGACAAGCGGAAGCTGTCACATCAGCGCTTGACGAAAGATTGCTACCACTTACGGTAAGCCCAAGTTCATTTTTTTTTTGTTACCGCTTACTGTATAGTAAGTTGATGACATTCTCTTTAATGACAGGTAAAGATTAAAATGGTGTAACTGACATCTTGCACCTGATACGGAGTAATGTAGACAGTGTTTTCCTTTACTAATAAATTTGGGATACTACTCAAAATGCCTGGTATCTTTTTTCACAATTAAGCTACCTTGACATATCTCATAAGTTTCCATAATTCTCAATAAAAAACAGTCAAGCAGAGTGTTTCAGCAAGTGATCACAAGGTTGATTTTATCACGGACTGTGTATAGGCCAGATTACCATAAATATTTGTAACCAAGTTTAAATTTGCTTATTAAAACAAGCAATGATATTACAGCAGGTTGAATTATTAACATTATATTCATAGGTAACAGTTAATACATTAGAAGTTATAAAGCACCTGAGGAATGGAAGACAGATTTAATCCAGCACTTCGCCGTATCTCGCATCTGCTTGACAGTAGGGGTTGCAAGATTCTGTACGAGGCACAAGTACGCTCACACCTTGAGTATGCTCCACTTTCTTGGTTTGCCTGCCCCCCCCCCTCTCATCTGCGACTGCTTGACAGAATAGAGAACAGAGCAAGACGTCTCATCTATCGCCTGGACCCATCCTGGATAGATCTGTCATTTCAGCAGAGCCTTCAACATAGGAGGGATGTGGGTGGCCTTACTGTTATGTACAAGGCCAATATTGTCAAAGTACCACACTTGGATCCACTTCGAGGACAGCGTGAAACAAGCTTTTATGCCACAAGACGGGCAGAAAGCAGCAACTTCACTCTGGCTGTACCCTTCTCCAGAACATCACTCCATCTGAGACCATATATACCCAGGATGACTCGAGTATGGAACACATTCGTACAGCATAATGATGTCAACGAGATAATGTCAGTTGATCACATGAAAATGCTGGCCCACAGATGGCTCCAACTTCATCATGTTCCCTACTTGTATGTCTCAGCAATAAAAATGCTTTCAAATGAGCTGATGTAGGTAACAGCTCTTAGCTTGCCAATAAAGTTAGGAATCCTTAACCTGTAAATAGCTTGTCAATAAAGCTAGGGATCCTTAACCTTGTCAAACCCTGTGTAAAAAAAAAAAAAAAAGAAAAAGAAGAAGAGTTGGTTGTTCCAGTTCTTTGAATCAAGAGCCCTATACCAGACTCAAGGCACCCCCCTCCCCCGCCTTGAGAAGAGAAAGGATTTTAGATCTACGTAAAACTATTCAATTTATCTTCTAACTTTGAAATATGAAATTCTATGTCAACCTTCAACAGTCTAAATTTGGAAAAGTCATTTAATATATCACTGACTTTATTTTAATAATCAGATTTATTAATATAAACACACCTCTTTCTTTACCAGGTGTAGTTATATTAAATAAATCGGACTACCTTAATAAAATGTCTGGATCATCATAGATTTCTCCATTTTCTTTCCCCTGTATATATATATATATATATATGTCGTGCCGAATAGGCAGAATTTGCTATCTTGGCTTAAATAGCAACGTTCATCTTGCCAAATGGGACAAGTGAAAATTTGTATATGCAATAATTTCGCCAAAATCATTCTGAACCTAACGAGAAAAATATATTTCACTGTGTTTGTTTAGTATTAAATTACTGTAAATAAATCTAAAATATATTTAGTTTGGTTAGGCTAAAATAAATTGCTCTTGTTGTAATAAGGTTAGGTAAGTTTTTTAAGAATCTTTTGGTGTAAAATAAAATTTTTTTACATTAACATTAATGAAAAAAATATATCTTTAAACGTATAAGAGAAAATTTTAGAAAGGACTTAATTTTAAATGAGTTCTTGCTAATTTGACCATTTTTAAACATATTCGGCACGACATATATATATATATATATATATATTATATATTTTATATATATATATATTTTAATATATATATATATGTCGTGCCGAATAGGCAGAACTTGCTATCTTGGCATAAATAGCAACGCTCATCTTTCCATATAGGACAAGCCGAAAATTTGTGTATGCAATAAATTTTGCCAAAATCATTCTGAAACCCAATAAAAAATATGTTTCACTGTGTTTATTTAATATTAAATTATTTTAAACAAATCTAAAATATATTTAGTTGGGGTTTGGCTAAAATAAATTGTTTTTGTTATAATAAGGTTAGGGAAGTTTTCTAAAATCTTTTGATGCAAAATTATAAATTTTTTTCATTAACATTAATGAAAAATATATATCTTTAAACATATAAGAGAAAATTTCAGAAAGGACTTAATTTAAATGAGTTCTTGCTAATTGACCAGTTTTACAATTCGGCACGACATATATAAAATTATATATATATTATTATATATATATAATATATAAATATATATAAAATATATTATATATAAAATATAATATATATAAAATATATTTTATATATATATGCAATAAGATCACAGTAAACAGGTGATTTCAGAATATGCAAAACAACCACTCTGAAAGAATAGAGAAATTCCAAGCGCTTTCGTGACTACTCACATTATCAAGGAACTATAGTTCCTTGATAATGTGAGTAGTCACGAAAGCGCTTGGAATTTCTCTATTCTTTCAGAGGGGTTGTTTTGCATAAAATATATATATATATATATATATATATATATATATATATATATATATATATATATATATATATATATATATATATATATATATATATATATATAATGCAATAAGTATGGGGGGCTTAGCCGAAGCTAAGTGATGTTTCCCAGACACCAAGCTCGTTTTGAAAGTTATTTCATCGAATCCTGATGTTAGAATTTATAGTTCCCCACACACAACTTAGTGCATAGTATTAAATATTTATATTATGGATGTACCTCTGTACAGCACTTAAACTTAGACACGGTGCTTTATATCCTGTACATAATGTACTAGCAGTATTAAACTGTTCGGTCAGGCAAGCTACTGTACTACGGTACTCGAAAGAACCACAATGTGGCACGTATGTGTTGTGCGGCACACTCAGCACAGAATATGACTGACAAAAAACAAGTCCATAAAAAAAACCTAACTTTTGACAACTGAGAGGCAATAAGCACAACTTGTTTGAACAATGAAGCGACCATTTAGCCAAACAGCAATAAGCACAACAGCTTTGGGTAAGGAAGATACAAGAATGGCCTGACTGGGGACAAGTCATGTGTCTTCCATACAAGGACAAAAGCTCCCAAATTACTGAATCCGAGTTCATCAGCTTCTAAAACCCCGATCACTGACAGTGCGCACAAGCCACCAAGTTAGATTGCAGGTTAGACTCTGGACCCTGAATTATTTTAAGTGTCTCCAGACACAGCCACAAAATGTCAAAAATCACTTACTATAGATAAGTCTCTGGTGAACAGAATTCCACAGAGGACAAAAAGTATGACTCGACTCACTGAGACCATACGTTACCACAAAACTGACTCTTTATGACAAGATCACAAAACAGAGTTCTCAGCCAGAGAGCGATGTAGTTACTGCAGGCGTGCGATCAGATACGCTCCCACCTTACAACACGACCCAGAATGAATCACAATTAGTAAAATTAGCGAATATGCATATGTAAGATAAATAATAATATGAAGTATATTTTAGTTTTAGCTACTAACCGAAATAACATTAACGATATAATTTTAGGTAACAATGTGTACATATATCAATGTGTCTATTTTATAATAAGACACAACACCAACCTTTCCTGTGATGACTCCTACGCCTCCATTCTCCTCCTTAGATTTATATACCCTTCTAGTCATCCTATTTTGCTCTATCCTCTCGAAGTGTCAAAACCACTTTAACAATCTTCCATGTAAATTTTACTTATGGTAACCCCTCACTTTCTAATCGTCAAGCTCCGAATTCTCTGCACAATATTAACCACACATCTCCATCAAACACCTCTCCAGTGCCTCATGCCTTCTCCTTGCTGTCATCTTTAAAACCCATGCTTCAAACCCATATAACACTGTTCATACCACTGTACTCTGGCACATTCTTATAATTTGTCTCCATCGATAAAGTTAATAATATCTTTATTTCTACAAGTACAAGGTATACAGTCCTAGCTAACATCAATGACATACTACTATATAGAAAGTCGCTAGTTATGCAGGGCATTTCGGGCAAATTAGGTCAGTTTTGCCCCAGGATGCGACCCACACCAGTCGATTAACACTCAGATACCCATTTTACTGATGGGTGAACGTAGACAACAAGCCCAATGTTTCTACCCTCGCCGGGAATCGAACCCGGACAATTACCGTGTAAAGCGAGAGCTTTAGCCATCAGGCCACGGGGTACCTATTACCTCTCTACGATTAATATCCAATATTTCATTACAGATTTTTTTTATTCTCATCAACTTGCTCTTTCCTACATTTACTTTCAATTTCTTTCTTTTACTTAGCCTTCCAAATTCCTCCGCCAACCCTTGCAACTTCTCTTCAGAATCTCCCATATGAGTTGTGTCATCGTCAAAGAGCAACTGAAACAACTTTTACTTCGTATTTACTTCAGTATCCCTGAATTTTTTATTTATTTTTTTTCCACCTCCGCCTTTTCGATTTTATTTTGTTCATACTTCAGGAATGCCTCATCTAATTTGTTTCAAATTTTCAACTCCTATGTATGATAACGAAGACCAGGATTTTAAAAGAACTGTCATATCCACGTGCCTTATGACCAAGAAGGTATCTGAACCATGTTCGGATAACTTCCAAAGCCCTCAGTGGCATAACCTTAAACTTTCAACAACAACAACAAAAAAAAGGTACCGCCTAATTAGGTGACGGCGAAGATGAAATTCAACTGCGTATGTGTAGATCTTACCATTTTATGTGCAGTGTGAAATTTTTATATCCGATATATCAGGCGAGATAACTCTCAGTTTCCCTCTTCCGAACGACTTCAATATTTAATGACTAACGAATCTTAATTCGACTATATTA